CTATTGGATTTTGTGATGCCTCCAGCCATCTGGAGAGCCTTCCAGGGCATGAATTTCTTTTTAGTTAAAGTTGATTTAAATTTCCAGGTGAATGTTAAGGAGAATTCTCAGATACACTGAGGAAGTTGCAGGGCAGGGGCCACGCATCTCTGATCTGGTATTGCTCTGTGACTCAAGCATTACAGAAACACATACACACAGCACCCATTCCTGAGAACTTATGCTCAGAACGACACAGCTTCAGGTGGGTCTCCCTCCACCTCTGGCTGGTTGCCTTTCTGGACCCATAGTCAGGGAGGGCCTACAGAACATGAGCAGATCCATTTCAAATAGGCTCAGACAGAGAAAGACAAATATCATATGTATCACTTATGTGTGGAATCTTTTAAAAATAGGATACAAATGAACTTATATACAAAACAGAAATAGACCCACAGACATAGACAACTTATTATTACCAAAGGGGAAAGGCGGGGGAGGAATAAATTAAGAGTTTGAGATTAGTGTATACATACTTCTATATATAAAATAGATAACCAATAAGGAGCTACTTACTGGCATAGCACAGGGAACTACGCTCAATGTTTTGTAATAATCTGTAAGGGAAAAGAATCTGAAAAAAGAAAAGATAGACAGATATGTATAACTGAATCACTTTGCTGTACACCTGAAGCTAATACAACACTGTAAATCCTCTATATTTAAATAAAATAAAATCAAACAAAATGTAAAAATAATTCAAAGAGGCTCAAGAGAAAAAAATTAGGAAGACTGAATTAATCTGCATGACAATTCCCAAGAAGAATGACTGTGTTATCTACTGCTGTTGACCCTCCATGCTGACACACACCCAATTCCTATCCAGAGGGGCTGGTATGGCGTGGTTTGCCCATGTGTGTGCTCACATGTGCACACACGCCCATCCTACGACAAGCCAGTAGCAGGGCCAGCCAGGGTTCCGCTTAACCAACATCCATCAAGTGTTCTGCCCCTTCGTGTGAGCAGTTCAACCTAACAAAACACCCAGGAAAGATGCAATCACAAAATGAAAGGAGCAAGCACACCTCAAGTAGAAGTTTATGATGTTTTGGTTCACAGTGAACATTACTCTCCCCCTAATGTCAGGCAGTAATTCACTGCTGAACAGCAGCCATAAAACATGATCACTTAGTGTAAAAATGTAACAGAGACAGAGAAAGCAGGGTGGACTTCTGGCTGGAATATTCGAGCAAAGAGGTCTCGTCCTTCTGAAGCAACACTGACCTCGTTACCCCAAGCCGGTTCAAAGTTTTCCAGATTTAAACGGACATCTTAAAGCAAATCAGGATGGTGTTTGCCTTAAGAGTTTTCCCTATAGTTGAAATTGCAATAGTCTGTGACTTATTCCTAACTTCCTAGGCACCTCCTGATGACTGGAGCATTTATGTGCCACATTTCTTAACAGCCCCTGGAAAAGGATGCCAATGCCAGCTGCGGCACACACACATCAGAAAAAATAAGACGTCCAAATTGGTACTTTCCTCACCTCCTTTCCCCCTGCCTCATGTGATGTGTGCACTAAAGGAGTGAGATTATGGTCATCAGAGACAAGGTCGCAAATGATGGGGACCCACACCTTTCAAACAAAATGAAAAGGCAGTAATTTTGAAGGCAGCCCATGGATAGCTACAGTCTAGCTCCTGGACCCCTGAAACTCACAGCAAACTCCCTTACTCTTAGCAAACCTCCCAACCCCCTCCCACCCAGCCTTCCCACCTTGAGTCCCTTGTCATATTGCAGAGAACTTCCGCGAGGCCCTTGATACACACGGGAGATTATTACAGGGCTCAGAGAAACCAGCTCTGTAATTATGGCGACAGTGTGATTTCCATTATTCTCGCCCCCTGGTTTCAGTAGCTCACAAAACTTCCTGCTAAGTCCTCCTGCAGTCCCAGAGCTTTTCATGGCTGGGCCTCTGCCCAAAAGGTGAATGGGGTCCTGATAACCTCTTGGAAAAGCAAGGCAGAGTTATTACAAGGAAAGGGGAGTGGTGCTCAGCGAGCAAGGGTGCTGGGAAATTCTATTGTTTAGAAAAAATAAATAAACTGGCCAGTTTCGCTTTTTATTATTTCAAACAGCAGACTCGGCGGCCCGGCTTTCCTTTACCAACTCAGACTGTCCCCCTGGGCCAGCTGTGCTGAGTCTGCAGGAGGGTAGCTGAGCTTCAGCTAAACTATTAAAAAGGCTCCCGCTCAGAGCTCGTGGAGCAGAAAGTTTGGCTGCCCTGATGGCCTGGCTTTCCCCGGGAGGGCCACTGGCTCATTCCCCCCTGCACGTGACCCTCTGGTCTTACCTCTCAAATGTTTATGCTTCACCAGTCCCACTATAGTTCTGGAAATTAAATGTAATGTCCCAGGTGGCTGAAACAGAACTGTTCTTATATAAGCCCTCCCACCCCCGCAAAGTAAAAGATGAGAAAGGCCAGCCCACGGTTTATAAAGTCCCAAGGCTCCCGGTCAGGTGTTGCCTGTCATTGCTGGCCTGGCTGACCTCTGGGGACACTTCAAGGCAAGGCTTTGCCCACAGCCTGCCCCATGAGGGATGTCTGTGTGCACTTGGCCCAAGCTCCCGGAGGTGTCCTCAGCCCACACTCATGGAGATGGGCTGCACTCTCACCTCCCATCAGGAGGCCGGCTTCCACAGGGGAGAGGGACCCAGCCGCCATGAGCCTCTGTCCACCCTCTGACCAAGAGCACACATTTGCAAGTCGACCGTCTTGGGTTTACAATGCAGCCATGGCCAAGAAACATCTTCCCCCCTGCCGCCAAGAGAAAACAACTTTCTATTCTGTTATGTGCACTGAATTTTCAAAGTTTATTTCACTGACACCATATACCAACCAGCTCAGACAATAGCAGAAAAACAAAACAAAAAAAACCTTCTACAGGGTCTACTTGGTCTGGCCAGAAAGTGAAGGATCCTCTGGCACCTGGTAGGAAGTTTAGGGGGTGGGCATGTTTCAGCATATTGCAGGAAGTCACCTCTCTCTTGCACTGAGATTGGGCTCCGTAGAGACAAGAGCTAAAGCACCCCAAATTTCCTTGCTTACGTATTTACCCTCAACAGGACTTATTCACCCACTGGGGCAAGCAAAGCAGGTCAACACATTTCACTGTGTGAACTGCATGCGGGAAGGCTTTCGGTATTCAGACTTCGCTTTGCCAGCAAATCAAATTCCTTGACTCTTAGTGAAGAATGAAGTCATCTGAGCAGCTAACGGAAACGTCCCCGCGGTCCCTGCTCTACAGCCCGTGGACTTCCCTCCTCGATTTATACTGAGGCTTATCAGACACAATTTCAGCAAGCTTGGTTATCTGATTTCCTAGCTCACTGAAAGCTGGAAGCCGCAGACTGAGGGAGGAAGAAAGGCGCTGATGTGGACCAGTACTTCCTGGCAGCATCTGGAAGTGCTGAGTGACACGGTATGCTAGAAGAAGAGCCGGGAAGGCTACAGCGATCAAACACAACACGCCTACACCTCCCAGCATCTTCCCCGGGCGTCCGCGAACCCCGTTCAACATGTGAGTAATAATCTAAACAAGAAGATCAAGGCGGCAAGAAAACATTCAATTGTGTTTAATATATTCTTCACAGAAGGCAGACCATAAAATGTAATTCTTAAAGCTATATGGATGATGGTTAAATTATTTGTTAACTTGATACAGAAGGCAGCACATGACGATGAGGTGGGCAATCCCAGACGCGTGGCGTGTTGCCTGTATCACCCTTGCAGTGTGCCACGGCGTTTCCCCAACATATGTTTCTTCTTCCAGCTGCTATGCGTGTAACTGTTCCACGCACATTCCCAACCCCCACACCCTCTGCTCCCCACCTCTCCCCGTCCAGCCCCACTGCCTGTTCCACAGAGACGTACACTCTAAAGAAAAAAACAAGTGCTGAAATGGGCTGTCACACAGTAGGATGGGAGAACAGGCACAGTCCCTAGATTTGCAGAGAGCATTTCCCCTTGACCACCCAGCTAACACCCACAAATACAGCAAAGAGAAAAGCAGCCATCAAAATTCAGTCTCAGGTCAGGCAGCGCCACTTTATCCATCTGAATCACACAATGTCCAGTTAATTCCAAGGGAAGCCTAATTAAAACAAGCAGGATCTCCACATGGAGTCATCAATATTTCCCAGGGAAAAGACTCAAGTATGATTATCAGCCAACAGAAAACAGGACCTACTGCCTAGAGTCTTAGAAAGGCTTTTAATCCAAGCAAGGAGGGCACCCTATGGGGCCAGCACCAACTCACTGAGACGAGAACCCAAGCAGAGGTGGGCGAGAAAATAGTTCTAGATAGATAGGGGCCCCCAACACGGCGGATGGGCCAAGGCCACCCAGTGCCCCTGAAGCCAGCAAGCTTCTGGAGAACGAGGAGGAAAACTCACGTCCCCAGATCACGCGGTTCTACTCCCCCTAGGGCAGTTCTGCGCCCCCAAAACATCCAGGGTTTCCCCGTCCCACGACTTGGCTCTTAGCCCTAACAGCAACTCCAGCAGGTGCTACACTTTCCTCTGTCGGTTTCCCTGAATGGAGTCCAGATGGATGCACCAGCCAGAAGGGCTGAAGCAGGAGGAACAGGCATATCCCTTGCCCCTGTCCATCCTCCACAACCACCCAGGCCTCATAAAGCTATTGCCTTGGGGCATAAGCCCAAGTTGGACAGAATACACCATATTTAGAATGGCCTAGCAACCTGGAGACGCGCACCTCTCTGGAGCACACCAGCCCCATGCAAGAGATGGGTCCACACACTCACCCACTGTGAGTCCCACAACAACCCTGCACGTGAAGGACAAGAGTAGCATTGATGACCTCAACAGCAACACAGCCATTAGCTCAAACCTGTATCACTGCCAACCAGGCCCAAGGTAGTAAAAGAATGCAAGAAAACATCCATCCTGCGGGGACAGGCTGCCTCCACAAGAACCAAAATGACTACACCTTGTCCTACCTTCTTCAGCTTGCCACTCTTGGTGCCCACGAAGGCCAGAGAATGATTCTTGTAGACGTATGCGATGACAGAAGTCATGCGGTCCCTGTCCTCCGTGAAGACGGGGATGCCACGCACCATCTCAGACACGCCCAGGGGGGCATTCATATCCAGGCCACAGAAGTTGTCATCAATGGTTAGGAGCTGAAAATGAAGGAGGAGAAAAATTAGAAGCGAGAACCAGGGCAATGGGTGGAGGTACTGAGTCAGAGAACTCTGGAGCTAGAAGAATCCTTACAGATGCATCACCTGTTATAAATCCCTCCTTTATTACATGAGAAACTCAGCTCCAGAGAAACTAGGTAACCTGTCAACAGTCATCTAAGTAGGTTGCAGGACCATGGCAAAAAGTCACAGATCCCTGGAGTCTCTTTACACCATGCGCCGTGGTCTCTCTGCCCCTCCTCCAACCCCTCCAGGCACCATCCTGGTAGTTTAGATGGCCCATCATCACCATCCCTTGGGAAAGCACTGGGCCAGCACCCATGAGCATGGGCTCCAGACAGCCTTGCTGGGGAGTGAGAGGGGCGAGGTCTCCACATCCACACACTTACTGTTGAGCAGACACACAGATGAGGACTTGAACATGTGGAACAGAAAACTAGAAATGTTAACACATGTGCGACAACACCATGGCAGAGACACGTACAGACAATCGGTTGGGAAAAGGAGGAGTGGAAGGTTTGTGGATGAACTCAGCAGGCCACAGGTGCCTCACTGTGTCCCATTTCAGGCTCTCTGCTTCTTTCAGAACATGGCGAAGGAGGGCAGGCAGCCTGACCTTGTCATACCCTCACCAGCATTTCCCAAAGTGTCTTCCACCGGAACCCCAGTCCCACAAGATATTCTACCATAAACGGGCTCTTTGGGCAAATAACTTTGGGAAACGTAGTGAAACGCAGTGCATTCTAACACCATGTAAGACATTCCTAATTGTTACAAGAAGGGTCTGTAAAGTCTTTTTAGGAAGAAATGTGTTTAAAGTTCTCTCAGCATTTTATTCCCTAAACCACTTTTTTGACCGGAACACCTCTTAGCATCCCTTAAAGAGACTGTTTTCCCAGGTACCCTGTGGGACACACTGACCCAACTCTTGCTTCTGACTCTGGGACAATTTCAGCAGTCAGGCAAGAAACAAGAAAAACCTCTGGCCCATTTCCCTGCCCACACCCACTCCCCAGTGTTTTAGCTGAAATTCTCCCTGTTTTATTCCAGGCTCCCGGACCCCCATGTAAGCAGAGGGTCACAGCTAGGGAGTCCTACTGGGGAGTGTAGGAGACCTTGACAATGGCTGGGGAGGGGCCTCCAGAGCCCTCCACTGAGCAGCTTTGGGTGGGCACAGATCTCTCCGAGGTGCTAGGATCCTGCACTGGGTTTCCCCTTTTTTCTCAGAAGAACTGTGTGCTCTTAGAAGACTCACTCCATCTCCCTGTGCTTTTATTTTCCACTCTGTAAAGATGAAGGAAACAACCTCTGCCTTTTGATGAGCTTCCATAAAGCCTATAGAGCTCATGCCTGTAAACGCCTTAGGACTTCGCAGAGAAAGGAGTGAAATAAAATACAAGGTGCCATTTTTTAAAGGCTTCAATCCAGCCAAAGGAAGAGGCATCTGGACAACCAGCAGGCAGGCTCTTGCCAGTGGAGCTGCGTGAAACCGGCCAACTCTGCGCTTTCCAGGGATGCGGGGGTTCCCTCAGCTCTCTCCCAGCAGTGCTGTCTATCTCAGGGAAGACAATGTGCTGAGCACCGACACCCTCCCTCTTATCGTGGTGGGAGCAGCCAGGGCAGGGCCGGAGGGAGCATGGGCGGGCTCGGCAGGCCACGTGCAGAGCAGACGACTGCGCCACGGCTGGCATTGCCTCTGGCCTCTATTGCAGGGTCTGGCCCCACAACCCGGACCAAACGCACCCCACCCCTTCAAAAACAACTATAGGAGTCAAAGGTGGGAGGAAACTTTCAAGGTCTAGTCTGATCTTTACGGTTCTTTCCTAAAATGAGGAAATGGGGGTAGGGGGAGACAGAGTGGAGAGAGAAAGAGATGGACAGAAGAGAGGAAGGAAAAATCCAGATCAAGGGCAGACAGTGTTTTCTCCCTGCTGGACGTAACTGCCGTGACCTGCCAAGCATTCAGACGGCAGCTGAGGAATCTTCATGGCCTTGCATGTTCCTGCCTCTGGTTCAGAAGGAGTCCTCATCCTGGACTTTCTGGGCCCTAAACTGTGCTGCTGGGACTTCTGCCATTAGCAAAAGGACCTCACCCATTACAACCCATTTTCCAAGTAGGTGAGACCGAATGATTGTTTGCTCCGCACAAGGGGATACTGAGGCAGGGAGCGAGGCACCAATACACGCCTCATTGACCTGATAAGGCTCAGGCCGCTCAGCCCCCCGAAACTACATTTCTGAGTGGTCAGTTTCCAAATACCATTCTTCTTCACTGGGCAGAACACGAGATAAAAACCAACTACGTACAAAAAGAGAGTGTATATTCAGCCAGTTGCCACATTAAATCCCTGCTTGCCCAGAGGCAGAAAGTCAGGGACTTGCAAGTCTCTGCCACTGTGGCATCTTGCATGTCAAGGGGCCAAGTAAGGAATGTTTTCATCGTTAGGAAGTGAGGACAGCTCAGCCTGTGGCCTGGCAGCTAGGACTCTGCTGGTTTCAGCTCATGACAGCTCCCTGCGAGGCCCCATCAGGAGGCAGGTCTCGGGTTCCTCACCTGTACCTGACAGGTACACCCCGCATTGCCTACCTCGTGGTATTGTCATCAGGCTCAGATGAGGCAAAGGGGACAACTGGGGCTCCTACCGTGGGGCCAAGATTCCAGGGACGATGGCTTCTCGCCCAGGCTCATCTGTGCCTCGATTTCTCCCTCTGAGCGGGGCCCCAGGTGATGAAGGGGTGATGGAGGCCTTTGACCAGGAGCAGCCCGGGTCTGCGTGGATGCTGAGGCCCCCTGGCTATGGCGTGGGGTGGGAAGGGGCTTACTCCTCGTTTCCTCAAAGCGGGGGTGATAGGGGAGGGAGTTTTAACATTGAAGTCGGGGAAAGCACAGGTCTCGCGTTCACAGGCAGCTGAGCTGCTTCCCAGCCGCACATCTTGGCACAAGCTGCTCCTGTCCTCTGGGCCTCACCTTCCTTGACGGTAAAACAGCAAGACGGGCCCATCCCGAGGCCTAGGTGAGATATCAGGTGTGAAGACACCGGCTGAACCGGAGAGTCCTTCATTAAGGTAAGGTGGGATTTCATGTTAATTTTTTTAATGGAAATCCTGCCCAGAACAGAAGTAGGATGGCGGCAGGGAGTGGCCCTTGCACGCCGCCCCCACTCCCCGGCCAGAGCACAGCTCTCTAAGGACACCACCCGCTGAGTTTGACCTGAAGCCACAGAGTAATAACCGCACTGGGAGCAGAGGAGAGAGGAGGGAGAGTCCCGCAGGGCCCGCAGACCTCGGGGGCTGGGGTGTAGGGAGCAGATGCCGGGCCCCTGGAAGGGAAGGCTAATGGGCGAAAGCCTTCCACGGGTAAGGGTTGGTGCAGATTCCTGAGCACCCTGGGCAACGGGGGAGTCTGGCCCTGGCCGAGCCCTCCCCTGGGCCCCTTAACGGCAAGATTAGAGCGGCAGCCAGAGGAGCCAGGAAGGGACTGGGCTCCGCTGTAAGCAGGGGCCCACCAGGCCCGCAGGCCCAGATTGCACCTCTCCCCTGCCACTCCACAAATACCCACGGATGAGCTATGGCCACTGCTACAGTGCTTACTCATTAGACAGCAGCTTCATTCTTACCAAGGAAAGAAATTAGGGTCTGCTGCATGGGAATATATGTAGTAGGCAACTCTGTGAATAGACCTCAAGGCCTTAGACAGGGCCACACCCTCTGGGGTCCCTTCTGCCCCATCAGGAAGATACCAAATCTGCTTTCCATAAATGTCCTCATGGGGTACCTGGCTTATAAATTAAGATTGGTGATCCACTGGATTCCAGGGACCATGAGCTCAAGGATGGGACTATGTTTTACCCATGTCTGTATCCTTAGCTTGGTTCCTGGTTCACAGTAGGTTAAGACATACACGTTAAATGGATAATGGATGGATGGATGGATGGATGGATGACTAAATAAAGGCTTGAGTCCCACAGTGGCTAGCACTGTGGAACTAGAGTCAGAATGCCTAGGTTGGAATTCCAGCTCCACCATTTAATGCTGTGTGACCTTGGGCAAGGTATTTAACTTCTCTGTGCCCCAGTTTATCATGGGTAGTATAGGGATAATAATAATAGCATATACTTCCCGGTGCTGCGGCGAGGATCAAATGACTAACATGTAGAACAGTGTCTGGCACTCAGTAAGTGCTAGGAGAGTGTTAGCTCTTATTACTGTTGGTCGCATCCTTAGACAATTCAGGTAACTTTTGTGAGTCTTAGCGTCTTTGGGGAAATTCATGATATCCACCTCGTAGAGGTGTGATCAAGATTAAAGGGGCTAATGTTACCAAGATGAAAGAGCAAAGGTGGTACTTCCTAGAGATCTATCAGGCCAATGAGGCTGAATGAAGGAGCACAGAAATCGTCTTAAGATCCAGAAGAGTTGCGCTACTCATCAGAAATGCGAATTCTCAGGCCCCGCCCCAGATCCACTGGATCAGAAACTCTGGCTGTGGGGCTCAGAGATCTGTACCTTAACCCCTTCCCAGCGCTTTAGTAAGAAGCACCTCCTAGATCACCACAGGCGTCCCTTCCTTGCTGAGGGTGCCACAGACCGGCCCAGGAGAGAACGGCACGTGACAAGCGTAACCACTGGAGCAGGACCCACTGGATCTGGGGGGAGGAGCCCACGGCAGCCCCCCAAGCCGAGCAGCCATGGTGGAGGTGGCGTGGGGAGCCAGAGCTGACACCCCGGATTACGATCTCACAGCTCACCGTGCTTCCCTCGCGGCAAAGGTTACCATGCAATTACGTGTCGCTACATTCAAATGACAGAGCAGTTACGGTTACTTTACCAATTACAGGGAAATTGCTCCCACTCTGCAGAGAGACTGGCACTCTGAAAAGCTCTATCATCTCCACGGAAAGGGGATTTTAAATGCTGCCAGCATCCTTCCTCCGCAGTCTCCACAGGCTCCAGGGCAGAGCTGCAAAGCAGCCACCCGA